CCCCCCCCCCCCCCCCGCAAAAAAATGAAGGCCTGGCTACGCCACTGAGTTGGCACTGCAGATTTGAAAATATATGAGGCAAAATTAACAATTTTGTATCACCGTGCATTGTATTTTATGAAAATACTCATTGGTTCCCGCAATTATCCCCGAGCAGAGGGCGCGAAGCGTCGTGCGAGGGTATTAATTCCCCACTGCTATTTACACCCGGGAAAACGTAAGCACTAGCGAAGTCTAAAGTGCATCAAAGACCGCGGGCGCGCTCACCAACGGTTTTGAGTGCGTGGTCATCACTGATCTCAAAATACGGCTGTTCGCCAGGAGTAAAAAAGGCAAAAATATAAAAAAATACATGTAAGAAAGCTTGGAAAATCGTTTCACATAAGTCATAACAAATTGTACAACTTTTTTGCAATTTTTAAACGTAAACATTGATAAGGTTTGATATTGCGTGATAAATCCTAAAGTATAGAGCAAGTTTGTGTCAATTGTTTATGTATGACTTTGTATTTAATAATATAGACTTTGCAGAAGTTCATTATAAAAAAGAAAGCAAATTATTTTCATTAGCGTCCTGTACGAATTAAATTTGTTTCATTTCAAAGTGTGAATAATAAGTTGAAGCTCGAGTTGAGAAGTTTATAAATATAGGCAAAAAGCAGTTAATTTCAGTTCACATTTAAAAACGTTTTACGTAGAGTTTCGTTCTGAATTTCACATTAAAATCAACCCCATAGAAACCAAAATATTATACCTACTTTATATATTTTACAAATTGATAGTTCTGTATTTAAAAGTGTTCAAATTTCATCTATTTTCTCCCAGTTTGTAGCTACAAAAAATTAAGAAACAATTATCGTGCTGCCATGACTAACATGACGTGGCAACACGAGCCTGCGTCACAGACTGATAAAGACATACATAAGTGTATCTTCTTACTAAAAGTGCGTAAAGGCCTAATTCCACGACGAGCGAAATGCGAAAAATTTCGCGCGAAAAGGTTGGACGCATGCGCAACATGATTTTGGAATGTTTCTCAGCGAAATATTTCTCTTCGCTGGGTAGTTGAATTCGTTTCTACTCCCTTGCGAAATGGAAATAGCGAAACCAATCAAATGCTTGTGTTATGGATGACAAAATAGCGAAACCAATCAAATGCTTGTGTTTTGGCGAATTTTTTCTCTACTGTGGAAATCACTACGAGAGAAAATTTTCGCACAAGTGTGTTTTCGCACGAAATATTTCGCATTTCGCTCGTCGTGGAATTTAGCCTTAAGGGATTTTTTCAGTCCGCCATGTTCTTAGCAAGTGCCCTAAAGAGAGGCAAATGCCCTAAAGAGAGGCAGCACCCCCTGAAAACATATTGAAAATTTAATATTCCAGGGGGTGAATGCCTCTCTTTAGGGCACTTGCTAAGAACACGGCCGCCAGCTATTTCGGTAAAAAACGCCTTACGGTTTTGTAATGGAAGTTACACTTCTGTATGTCTTTATTCTGTGCCGCATGCGTTCAGTGTTGGCGTAATTACGAATACTTCATGTTGAAACAATGTTTGGAAAATATAGGCGAGGGGTTGTTGCATGCATGTATTTCTAGTTGTATTACTCTCGATTTCGATTTCCTTTTCAAAACAGACTTCCAATGTTTACTTGTAAATTCGGAATGTTTGTTGTAAAGTTCCGAAGTTTGTTTCGAAGTTCGTTACGATGATTTACGATGATTCTATAGCAAGCGATTTGATTGGCTGGTTCACTTGGAAACAAACTTCGAAACAAACTTCGGAACTTTACAACGAACATTTCGAATTTACAAGTAAACATTGGAAGTCAGTTTTGAAAAGCAAATTGAAATCGTGAGTAACTAAATGTAGCTACTATCATGTTCGAAACAGTTAAGAATATTCTTTGGCTTAAAACGTCACATCCTAGAACCAAGGTATAAAATATATCTAACCAGTGAAATACCGAAGTGCTTATTCTGTAAGGCATGTTGTAAAACCTGGACTGGACTGGACTTGTAAAACCTGGACTGGACTCATTTGTAAAACAGGGACTGGACTCATTTGTAAAACCTGGACTGGACTTATTTGTAAAACATGGACTGGACTCATTTGTAAAACATGGACTGGACTCATTTGTAAAACATGGACTGGACTCATTTGCAAAACATGGACTGGACTCATTTGTAAAACATGGACTGGACTCTCATTTGTAAAACATGGACTGGACTCATTTGTAAAACCTGGACTGGACTCATTTGTAAAACATGGACTGGACTCATTTGTAAAACCTGGACTGGACTCATTTGTAAAACATGGACTTGCACAAAATTATACTAGTTAAAAATAGACTATGACAAAGGGTGGCCACAGGAGGTCAAATTTTTAACATATGGCAGCCATATATATTTTTCTTTTCACAGTATTCAATTTTAGGTTTTTGAAATGGAAGAACAGTGTTTTTTTAACTAAATATGGGTCATTTAGTGCCTAAATGAAATGTAATTATTTTATTAAACCGGTAAGTATATATTACTTATATTATTTATGTGTAGAGTCTGTAAGACACACCACTACTGTAGCGGAGACTTCAACACAGCAGTCAACACAGCAGGGGTCATCCTAAGGCATCCCATTTTTCAAAATGTGCAGTTCTAATTGGAAAATGAGTAGCTCTAAATCCTAAAATGGGCCGTTCTAAAATTGAGTTTTGTAGAGAAATGCTGAACTTCTAAACATTCAATAATCAATATTTAAAAGATTATCTACAAAGAAAAAGGAAATATCGATGAAGTGAGCGATTTAATTAAATTATAGTTACTATTACACAGATTTCTGATTTCAGAAAATGCACCATTATAATCTTTTGTAAATCTAATTGAGAGACCTCAATTTCAAAATTTTTCAGGGGGAGAGCTATCCCCGGCACCCCTAGAAGGTATAATGCCCACAACACACACTGCATCTGGAAGCAGCTATGAAATTGGCAGTTCTAGATTTTTCTTAGGATGACCCCTGCAACACATATGTGATATATAATGTTCTGTCACCTTATTATATATAAAAATTGGCAGAACCAGTTTAGTTTGTTTGAGTGATATTCTCTTTGTTTAGCCCCCCCCCCCAATAAGCACCCTTTCTAATAATCCCCCTTTTAGGTGAAGTTTTTTATTAAGCTCCCCCCTCTCTTTATTAAGGCCTGCCCCAGGTTAATAGAAAATATGTGTTAACACATCATACATGTCAGACATATGTCACGAACATCTTAAAACATATATATAGCCGAATAGTTGAAAAATATATAGTTCAACATCTCATTAATTAAAACCCTTGTGTTAAAATTGTTAGAATACATAGTCATTTTACACACAATTTTTTGTGCTGGAGGAAAATTATCATATAATTTTACCAAGAAACTATGCATGCGCCCCTCTTAAATAAGCCCCTCTCTCAAATAAGCCCTCCCCCCTCAAAGGGCCGGAAAAGAATAATAGAGGGAATACGGTATCACAAAAACTAAAAATACTTTACCTTATTCACACTTAAGTTTGCACTAGTCACTAGTTATAGTATCACTGTAACAATTCTCAATCCTCACAAGTATAATTAAGAAAAGATTAATAAAAATTAGCCTAAAAAAACTTTTAAGGAGCCAATACTAGTTGACTTTGACTTTTAGTTTTATAATGGTAAAATTGAAGACAATGGTGCCGGCCCGGTGAACCACATTGACTAGCAGAAATATATTATAAAATGTACTTATTCCTTAGATACTATATTAGCTACAGAATATATCATTCTAGATAAACTGTACAGTAATTGCAGTTATTTTCATCCTAAGAAAAATTTAGCACTGCCCATTTCATAGCTGCTTCCAGATGCAGTGTGTGTTCTGGGCATAAGCCTTCTAGGGGTGCCGGGGGTAGCTCTCCCCCCTGAAAAATTTTGAAATTGAGGTCTCTCAAATGGCATTTCCAGCATTCTGAGAACAAATTTGGGGAAAAATTTTAGGTTTACAAAAGATTATAATGGTGCATTTTTTGAAATCAGAAATCTGGGTATAGTATTCTATAAGTCGCTCACTTCATCATAGCCTGCGTACAGGCTGTCTGAGGATGAGGGACAGCCTGCAACCATCACCCCATGTTTTCAAATACGCCCACTTTTAAATATTACTAAACATGTCAAAAACCAACCAATCATTACGTATGTATAATTAGAGAATTAATTAGAATTCCCGCGAAAAGTTAGAGATGTATAGCAAGTATAAAATGTTGTTTTTAATACGTTGACGGAAAATGTCACAAACTCCGAAGAAAAAGATTTCCAAAATAGGAAGGCCTCCTAAACGTGAAAGCGTAAATGATTACTGTAGGATTTGCAAGTGCAGATTTAAATTGGCGAAATGTGCATCTTTAAAGATTTTTGAAAGAAACGAGCGAGATGGGTTTAGTCTTATTATTCTGGGAGATATGTGTGCGAAAAGCGGCATTGACATTGTAAAAAACAGTGATTTTTCGGATAGAGTTTGCGTTAGTTGTGCACGAAAGATCAGAGATTGTTGCTCGTTGTATAACGAAATTTGTACCTCGATTAACAAGCCCTGTGTACAATTCGTTGAAACCGAAGGCGAAGCTAGATTTAAACGCCAAATTCCCACTGACTCAGAACATAGTCCAACCGTAAGGAAGGTTGTTAAGCACGTATCTGCGAAAAACAACGAAACAGGCGAAAGCTCTGGAGACCATAAGAAAGTAAAAAAATTACTGTTTGTGACGGAGGAAACAAGTGTCGACAAACATAACATTGCGTGCGAATCAACTGTCTCGTCGTTACTTAACATAGACATCAATTTGCTAAATAACACAATGGAGAAGAAAACAAACGATGTTAGCGTGATGATAAAACATCCGAATGGAGATGTTATTATGCGACATGTGAAAGATCCGAACGCAAGGTCTATTGTTCGAAATATTGCATTGTGTAACTGGAAGTCAGCAGCGTTTTCGATAATGAAGTGTGAAGGTTTGATCGATCAATTGTTAAACGCACTGAACAAAAAAATTGCGAATGAGTTTAAAACTTTTAGCAAGCTTGATTCCATCCTAAAAGGTCGTACGCCAGAGGAATTAGTCGCATTCTCTAATAAATTGCTATTAGAAGAAGTGAGGGTTCACATCCCGTTTTGGAATGCGTGTGTTAAAGGCAGCGTAGGAGTAAGCGTGGATAAAAAAGCCGAAAAACAATGTAACGCTATTGCTTTAGCTACGTCTGTCCTGGCCCGGTGTCGAAATGCCGAAATGTCTGCTATTGCCTACAGGATTTCCACAATTTTTTTCATAGCGGTGTAAGCTACGAAGATATTATACGCCTGAATCGTTTGGGAGTATGCATCTCGCATTCTCGCATGTTGAATCTTCAAAGACAGATGGGGAAATTTTTCGACGCAAAGGTACTAATATGGAAAAATGACGCTGAGAAAAAACTTACAGCTTTACGCTTTCTGGAGGATCTCAGTTGTAACCAGCTTGCTCGTGATGATGATGACATAAATGTAGAAAAAGAGATTAATCTCGACGTTGAAGCAGTACAACAGTACAAGTACTTCAGTACGGATGCGCACAAACGTTGCGTTGAGATAATGGATGAAACGAAGCGACAGTTAGGAGAGTCTCTTAATACAGATGATGTCCTTTTCTCAGCCATTCAAAATTTAAAGGGATATAACATACCTTATTACAAGTAAGCGAGCGTTCTATTGTTTAATTAGCGATAATACGTTCATGTTTAGTACGTTTTGCATTGCTATTTATAGCTGTTAACATGACATAGTCATAGCCTCAACGTTGCAAATAAATCCTGTATATCATAAATATGATTATTAATATTCGTTCGTTACATAAAATGTACCACTTTAGAGGGCGTTGTGAAAACCCGGAATGCCGGAATATCACGGAATATGGCGGAATATCACGGAATATGGCGGAATATCACGGAATATGGCGGAATATCACGGAATATCACGACATTTTCCCGGAATATACCGGAACATCACAATATTTTCCGATGG